CCAATTCTCAGGTTCTTCCGGTTAATGCTTCGTTTTTTGATAGTGAACGGGATTATGTTTCCTCTTGTTCTCTTCATGATGTTCCCACTGAGCAGGAAATATTTAAATCTTTCAAAGATGTTAATACCAATGAAGCTCCTGGGCCAGATGATTTTACAGCCTCCTATGTCGCCTGTTGGGACATTATCAAAAGGGAAATTATTCTTACTATTCAAAGTTTCTTTTGTGGGGATGATCCTGGGAAATACTTTACCTCTTCTATGATTGTTCTCATTCCAAAAGAAGCTGATAAATCTAGCTGGGACAAATTTCGACCCATTTCCCTCACTTTAGTTATTTCTGAAGTTTTGAGTAAGTTGATGCTTTCCCGACTTCAACCTCTCCTTCCCAAGATTATCTCGCAGCAACAGTCCGCTTTTGTTAAAGACCGTGAGATCACTGATAATATCCTACTTGCTCAAGTGATTATTGAGGATCATGATAAGAAATGTCGTAGTGGTAATATGATTATTAAGCTTGATATTAAAAAGGCCTTCGATCATTCTCAACATTCTGCATGCTCGCGACTTTCATCACAACTTCATTTCTCTTATTAAAAGATGGCTACATAATAATCACTATAGTGTTATGGTTAATGGTAATACATACAATTTCTTTTCTGCTCAAACAGGCATTAAGCAAGGAGATCCTCTATCGCCGACGATTTTTATAATCTCTTTTGATTATTTCTCTAGTTTGATCAATGAATTGCAGCAAAAAAAGTTGTACACGCAATTTCATCATAAATCTACGGTTTTGGTTAGTCAGCTTGTTTATGCAGATGATGTTATCATTTTCTCTAATGTCGGTAAAAACACTATTAAGTTGTTGATGAAGGTGCTTGAGGATTTCCAACAAACTTCCGAATTAATTTTTAGTAGAGATAAATGTAATCTGTACTTTGACAAGTATGTAAATCGTTCTGTTGCATATTAGACTACTTCTTTTACTGGATGTCAATCTTCTACACTCCCTCTCAAGTTTCTTGGTGTTAATCTTTTAAGGGGTCGTCGGAAGCAAACTCAATTTGATGATGTTGTTGAGAAAATCAAGTCCAAAATCGAGGACTTGAGGAATATATTCCTATCTAACGGAGGTCGTCTCACCTTGCTAAAAAGTGTTTTAACCATGCCTATGTATGCTTTGCAAATTCTCAAGCTTAAGAGGAGCACTCAACACACTTTAGAGAGGATTTTAATCATTTTCTTTGGTCTGGAAGTCATTCTAAGAAGCATTGGTCTTCTTTTGATAAAATTTGCAAACCTTTGAAGGCTGGTAGTTTGGGGCTCAAAAGCCTTAACCAAATCTCTGAAATTAATATGTGTAAGTTGTGGTTTAAATTTCGATCGAGTGACTACTTATGGGTTAACTTTTTGCATCATAAGTATTGTTCCAAACATCACCCGGCTTTGGTTAATTGGAAAGTGGTTGACTCTAAGATTTGGAAAGCAATTATTAAGGCTAGAACTATGGCTTCGAGATTCAGTTTTTGGGATGTTGGTGAGGGCAACATCTCGGTATGGCGTGACCAATGGGGTCAGGAAAATGTTGCTTTCCCTCTACAACATGGGTTTTCGAATGACCTGCTTCTTTCGGATTTGTGGCTTTATGATAATTGGGATGCCAATAAACTTAATCTTGTTTTTGGTGAGCAAGCTACTATGATATCTAAAATGCCTCTAAAGATTACTACTAAGGAACGTCCTATGTGGAAATCTATTGGCTCTCTTTCTCCTACTAAAATGCTTTTTGCTAACCTTTATCAGTATAGTGGTTGGAGACGGGGCCATGTCATTTGGAATCGTCTCATTTCACCATCCATTTCTTTCTTTTTGTGGAGGTTTTTTCTCACAATGCTACCTTTGGATGATATTTTGAAGCTTAAAGGTTTAAAATTGGCATCCCGATGGTATTTATGTAAAAGGGATTCAAAAACAATTACGCATCTTTTCTTTCTTTGCCCCTATGCTGCGGATACTTGAAATATTTTGGGCAATTATTTTACCATTAAATGCCTGAATTCTTCTTCCATTGCTGGTTTTCTTCTTATTTGGAGAAATGCAGCTCAAGTTGATAAGAAATTGTCTTGGTTTCCTCTTGTGACTCTTTGGTTCATTTGGGCGGTGAGAAATGACGCTAAACATGACATTAATAGGTGTGCTACTTCTATTACAGCTTCTAATATTATTGCCCACTTTCATCGAGCATGTCAGGTTCTCTGCTTACCGGGTACTGATGATCGGACTAGGTTGGGTAGGAAGGCCATCTTTTTTAGGTGGAAACCCCCTAACTTTAGATTCGGTCAAATTCAATATTGATGGAAGTTGGATTCCTAGTGCGGCTGGTGCAGGGGGAGTTCTTCGGAACCATTCCGGGCTTTGTTTTCTTTGCATCTCCGATACTGGCCTCCTCTCCTTTAGAGGCTGAAAGTTGGGCTTTTTTGTTGGCTCTACAAGTTGTAATTTGCCTCAAAATTCACAAGATAACTTTTGAGACTGACTCTCAAATACTTATAGATATCTTCTCTGGAGCTTCTAAGCTTTGGTGGGATTTGATTCACACTATGAATAGAGTTTGAGATATTATACATAGATACAATTTGAATATAAATTTATCCTATATCTATAGAGAAGACAACTCTTCTGCTAATTGGTTAGCCCGTACGGGCAGGGATACTAACGAGGTGTTATGTGAGATCTCGGGCCTGTCCGCAGCTCCAAATTCTTCTGAATGGGTGCTTAGTTGAAGCTCCTTATATTAGAATATAAAAATCTACTTTGGTTTCTCTTGACGATTAGTTTTACATCGTCTCAGACATTCAGTTTTACGTTTTTTAAATTCAAGGAATTTGTGTTTGTGCGGTTTTGGAATATTACCTAGCTTGGCATTGGAGTTTCCCTCTGTGGTCCTTTTATATTTAGTTTGGATTTTGGCTTGCTTTTGTGCTATGGGTTTCGGCTGGTGCTCCCTGCTGTATGACTTTTTTTTTGTGTTTGTGTTATTTCATTGGAGCATGATTTGGGAGTGGAGGTCATGCAGATGGTTTTGTTTGTATTATTCTATTTGTTTTGGTTGGCTGTGTGGAACTCCTGCAAAATGTTATCAATACTTATGCTTTTCTGGTTGGAGTGGGTGGTGCTGCTTATTATGCAGGACCTTTGCAAGATTTTGGAGGTCCCCGGGGGGAAAGATTCAATGCTCTTGTTGTTTTCAAGCTTCGTCGGGCGCATCTTTTTTCTCTTTTTGTACTCCACATTTGTTGATCTGTTCTAGGGTGTACATGTCAATTTTGGGTATACTTCCTCTATTTGGGTTACATATATTTTTGGGTGTACTATACCTTTATTTTATTGTTTCCTTTTTTTTTTTTTTTTGTAATGTGGATTATGGAACCCCTAGGGCCACAATGTATTTTCTTTTACTTTTAGTTGGGATCCATTTTCCCTCTCGCATTTTATAACATCTTTTTTTATTAACGCATAAGGAGCCACGAGCTGCTCTTTTATTAAAAAAGATTCAAGTTTTCAGTATTCAGTATGCAAGTTAAGAATCAATAGCATAAAGGACAAAGGACATTCAGTAGGCTGCAAACAATGGAATGCTCAACAATTCCAAACATGAAGCATGCACCACGACATATGATAAAGACACGACGCAACATGAACATAAAAGCACAAAATAAGCATAACATGTAGAGCATGACACGCCATGAACATGATTCTTTTTTATAAATCATTACCATAAAATGTGTAATCAAAACACTTGATGTTCATATTTTATGCCAAAAAGTATCATAAAATGAAATATAGTATGTATTAAAATTTAAAAACTTAGCAACCAACAAAAATATAGGTTTAATTATAGTTATATTTCCATTATGAAGTGTATTTGCTTTATCAAAATTGCTCATTGTCAACAGCGCACAAACATTAGCATTAATAAATTGGTATTAATCGGACAGTATTTAGATCTATTATCTGAGCCCAAATATAAAAAGAGAAATTTCTAAATAAAAAAAATATGAACACATTGATCACCATTAGTTAGATCCTTAACATACTTGACATCACGATTACATTGCCCCTACGACCAATATTCTATTCAATAGAACCTACACTATTATCGAATAAAAAATAGTTCGCTAAGTTCGCTCATAAGATAATAGAATCATCACGTATCTCAACTATGTCAAAGTGTGACAATATCATGTCCGACTCTGAAGTTATAAAAAAATGGGCATTTACAAACATACCACCCTATTCCTAGGCATTGACATACCTAACACTTAAACTTTACTTTTTACATTTAATAATCTAACCTAAATCTTCCATATCAAATCAAAAACACCACCATTTTAATTTTTAAAAGTGAAATACACATTTTCATGTATGAGTAAGTTGGTCTATACATAAAAATAAAAGTTTAGATGTTAGATATGTAAATACAAAGGAATTGAGTGATACATACGCAAATCTTCGTAAAATAACTACAAATATGATTTTTCAGCATGTCAAAATTGCTAATAGCGTGCTGAAGTAGTGTGTTTCACATGCATCCAACAATGAGTGAAAGAGGATGAAAGGTTACAAAAGTGCAATCAAGATAGAGAACAATGATGGAGAGACTTGTAATAAGGATTTGCGGAAGGAAAATTAATCATTGATTAGAAAAAAGTGGCATTAAAATGTCCACTCCAACCTCAAATTCATGCCGATGCCCCAATCGAGTTCACTCACTATCAAATTATTGATAATTATGCTTTCGACATGGAATTGATTATCCAAAAACCAGGTTTTTTATGAAATTTTTTGGTGGCTTTAAGCCAGTTAATATCTGACGAATACAAATTATAGTGCCGAAAAAAAGTAGTAGGCTAAGGGTTGAAAAACAGAAAAACCAAAATGGATAACACTACTAAACTTATTGCACAACTAAAATAATTCATTGAAGTTTAGGATTACCTCTAAATTTTTCTATTCCTTTGATGTAATGACCAGCAATGCTAAGGAACCAATCAGTACATACTGCAAGACAGTATAACATTAATTAGCACAAGGAACGTCATGAGAGAGAAAAAGAGCCTACAAAAAGATTAAAAAGATCCAGAATAGATAACTAGATCTTTTCATTTACAACAATCCATTAAAAAAGCTATCTATAATCGATAGCAATACAATAATCTGCTGATAACAGCTTTCCATGTACAATAATCCAATAATTTGTGGATAGCAACGTCCATTTCTAAATTTCCCAACTAATAACATATTTCCAAATTTATTTTAACTGATAATTATTTCTCTACCAAATTATGCACAACTTCTCATCTTTTTTTTTACACAAAGCGAGGGAATAAAATTCAATCATACAACTCCCCTCTCCTCATTTTAAATTTCAATATGATATTAATGCCATTGAAGTTCTACTAGTTGCGATACCAAAATGACTTTTATTTTGGACTTTCTTTTCCAAGCCGACTGATACTTCACTAACACAGGAAGCTAATCTTCATCCAAAAAAAGTGAATCCTTTCGAAAAGAAGATAGCGGCAATTACACAAAGAAAATGGAGGAAATAACCGCAATGAAGTGATCAAGAAGCTGGCAACTCTAATGCTACAACTCAAGTTCAAAATGGAAAAATTAAATCCAAAATATGGAAAATCCATAATGAAATAATTGACTAAAATTCCAAAGAGAGCTGCCAACAAAAAGAAAAAATGCAATAGCTTTCTCCTTCCTTCAGCTATGGGCAACAAACCAAAAAAGACAAATTAATTTCCTGCTACAAGTTCAATTAGGAGCATCACCGTGATAAGCCTGGTTGGTCAAAAAGCTAAAGTTCAAATGTCCTCATCGCAAATAGGAATAAAACTACTAATTTGATGGTAGACACGAGAGCATCAAATCATATGACACAAGACAAAAACATCTTCTAAAATTATAGGCCATTCCATGACTATTATGATGCTTGGATTGTGAATGGATCACTATCAAAAGTTGCTACAGCAGTTCTAGCATTCTCTCAAAAAAATAATCTAAAACTTGACTCTCAGCTTTAGTGTCTAGCCAATATTGTAATTTGTTATTGTTGAGATTTGTATAATGTGGGTCCTAATTGTAAATAGAGAAGTCTAGAGATTTATTTTTTAATGCTACATCTTGTTAGGAATAAAACTAATAATTTGATGGTAGACACGAGAGCATCAAATCATATGACACGAGACAAAAACATCTTCCACAATTTAGGCCATTCCATTTCTATTATGATGCTTGGATTGTGAATGGATCACTATCAAAAGTTGTCTACAGAAGTTTTAGCATTCTCTCAAAAAAATAATCTAAAACTTGACCCTCAGCTTTATTGTCCAACCAAAATTGTAATTTGTTATTGTTGAGATTTGTATAATGTGGGTCCTATTAGTAAATAAATGAAGTCTAGAGATTTATTTGTAAATGCTACATCTTGTAAGGCTCTATATAAGCCCATCTTCAATGAAATGAAGTAAGCTCTATTAAGCAAACACTTTCAATTTGGTATCAGAGCCTCAACACTAACCCTACCCGAGCAGCTGTCTTGTGCTCGATAGGTCGTAGCGAAGGCTTTAGTGACATGAGGCAACGACGACATGCGAAGCAATGACGGTGGCTTTGGGCAAGACAGAGAGGAGAAGGAATGACTACACAACTTGATCGGTACAAAATCACAATAGACACTAGCGGAGACAGATCACAACGGGATCTTCTTCCGCGACAGACAAGAGGAGAGACAACGAAGGATCTGTGCGATTGCGAAGAGGAAGACGAGACAAAGGATTCTGTAAGGCGTGCACAGTAGATTGAGCCGAATTGTGCAGCGGAGACATTCAGTGCCAGGAGATGGGACTTCTGTTTGAGCGTGGAGGCTGAGTGAACAAAAAATACGACAGAGAATCTGTTGCGGTTTTTGCGTATGGTGAAGTGTGGCAAGGCTTCGACTCTTGTAGACTCTTTGCATCCGGGACAAAGGGGTTGCAGCTTCGTATGGCCTTAAGCAAAGTGAATCGCATGAACTTCTAGGAAGTCGCGCGCGTGTGTGTAATTGAGAATGTCAGGAAATGGGGATAGTACAAGAGGTAAGGGTTTGAAATGTTTTGGGAAGATGGATCCAGAAGTTCTAAAGGTCTTGGTCGGGCTCATACAGGGAGCTAGTGTCTCGACGAGAGCTACTACCTCAGCACATGCGCCGACAAAAGTGAAGCTAGATCTCCCTCATTTGGATCGAAAGCTCAATGAACTGGCCACGTATTTGAGTTAGTCACGTTGAATCAAGGCTGCTCCAGTAAAGAAGAGACTAGAAAGATACCTGACGGAGGTCCAACAAAAGAGTAACCGTGTTGAGAGGGATGAGTGGAGGACCACACATGCCATGTTTTACACTTGGCTACTCAACTCGATGGTTCCATTGATTGCCTAATCAATATATGACATTCGAAAGGTGAGCAACATTTAGGCGAAGCTGAAGAAGATTTATGCTAGAGTTGAGAACCACATGAGGGTGTTTTAGATTCAATGTGAGATAGAGGCAGTGGTTCAGGGTGATAAATCGATTCAGGAGTACTCCATAGATCTGGAACGGTTGTAGCAATATCTTGATCACTTCTCACCTATGTCGAGCTGTGGTGATCAAGGGTGCAACAAGGGAGAGATCTTTACAATGACGAGGACTATGCAGTTTCTGGCTCATCTAAATCCAGCCTTTGATCAGAGAAGATCGGTTCTCCTAGCTCAAGCGACTATTACTACACTAGATGAGGCCATTGCGACAATGATCAGAAGGAGAGTTGCATGAAGCTACACTCTGAGCCAAGTGGTTTTTCGAGTGCAAGATCAGCATTGGCTGCTGCGAGCCCAGGTATGCTAGGTGTCCATAGGGAGAGTCACAAGTGCTACAATTGTAGTGAAGTTGACAATTTTAGCAGAGCCTGTCCTAAGCCACCTAAGGAGAGAGAGAGGCAGGTGGAAATGGACAAAGTGGAGGTCGTGGTTGTGGTTGTGGGGTCGGAAAGGTGGGAGAGGAGGCTACCGGACAAATCTGATGGTAACAAAGAATGAGGGAGAGACATGTGTGGTCTTTACTAATGAGAATTATGAGTTTCTAGAGCTATTGAAGAGGAAATTGAAAACAACAGGAGATGAAGTTGAGCATGTTTCAAATCCATCGATATCAAGGGAAAACATTTCCATTTATGCTCACTTCAACAAAGGTACTGGTGGACACTTTTTCTTGCCTCTATTTCCACCACAAAATGATCAAAATGGATCAAAGGCTTACCAAAACTAAGAGAACCAAAGGAGAAGTCACCATCAATTGCGTTAGTGAGATTCAAAGAGGGGAGAGGGAGGAACGCCATAATCCTTTACGTAGGGATGATTCAGATGAAGAGGATAGTAGACCATGATGCTTTCAGATTCAAAATCAGAGAAGACCGAGGGATGAAGTGCCTGTTGGAGGATAAAAGACAAATGAGTGAAAGTAGACATTGAATTTTGAGCGAAGAATAAATCTGAATGACTTCATCGAGTGGATACAGACGATCGAGAGGATCTTTGAATATAAGGAGGTGCCAGCTGATAGAAAAGTGAAGATTATTGTCATCAAGTTGAAAAAAAGTGACTCTTTGTGGTGGGAGAACCTCGGAAGAGAGAAGGTCGGAGCAAGATTGTCACTTGGGAGAAGATGAAGAAGTTGATACAAAATAAGTATCTACCGCTACACTACTGCCATAATATATTCTTGAGGCTACATGACTTACATCAAAGGAATTTGTCGGTAGAGTTCACTACTCAGAGGCATCCCCAACTGTGTTCACTAATGTGATTGAAGAAGAATGGTCAAAATTAACAGGAGATGCCTCATTGAGTTTTCTATTGGGAACCGTGGGATTAGGTGTGGTGTGACGTGGTGCCCATGAATGCCTGTCATATCTTGTTGGGGAGACTGTGACAGTTTGATAGTCGGACTCCGCATGATGGATTCAAGAACACCTCTTTCACGAAGGATTGAAAGCACATAGTTCTCTTACCTTCTGTGGAGCCCAAAGTTACATGTGCTCGTGCCAACATAGAAGCGCCGGTGGGACAAATTTTGGTGATGATATAAGATAGAAGTGTCGATTATCGACTCAAGACAAAATAGGGCAACCACTAAAGAGAGAATTCTGGGGTATCTTGACTGACAACTTGCCACCAAAGCCACCACTGTTAGAAGAGGTTTGGCTCGCCATCACATTGGAGAGGGATGGGCTAGCATTGGGCTACATTTGGAAAACTCTACAGAGTACACTTAGCATGAAGTTTCAGTTCACTTCAAAAGGGTACCCATAACTAGTTAGACAACTGGAGGTTATTATTAGCCGTTTAAGAAACTATCTTAGGTGTTTCGAGGGACAGGACATCCGACAATGGGATCCAGATGCCTTTAGAGGCCCAGTTAAAGACCCTCCAACCTCGATAATCACAACATTCCCGCCAAATTCAATGTGTTCGTCCTAGTCTCACTTTCATGGCTGGGCCGAATCGATTCAGATTTTTTCAGTGTTGTGGAGTTGATTGGTTCTCTTAAGCCACTCCTAGTTATCCTATTATTTTATATTTATTTTTCTAATGTTTTAGGGTTGATTCTTTGTATGTTTTTCATCATGACAGTTGTTGACGCCTCCAACTTTCTCTTCTAGAGTTGTATGCAAGGGCAAGTGGTGATATGACTGTATCTGATTCCGAGGCGGTAATTATCTTCAACTGTTCTCTTCTCTGCATCTTTTCCTTTGTTGTTGTTGTCCTCCATCCCTTGTACAACCGCCCAAACAACCCATTGTAGCTGTCATTCTGCAATCCTAAAGCCTCCCTGCAGCCAGCTATCTTCCACCTCCTACTTGCCACCATGCAGCAGTCCTCCTCCCAGCCTGCCGCCACCCCACTGCAGCCAAGCTTCCAAACTTCCTACCGCAAACACCCCCCAGCCAGCTACACTTCCACCACAACTAACTTTCCAATCTCCATGCAACAACCTTCCTCCTATCTTGTTGCCATCCCACCACAACCAACTTCAACCATCTCGCCATCCAACTGCAAGTATCTAACGCCCCTCCATCCCACATAGCCGACCACCATACCTTTTGAATGCCACCTAGTTGTGTTAGTGTCATGACTGTTGTTATTTTCATTTCCGTTTGTATCATTGTATTTCCCTATTTTGAATTCAGCAATAATATTTGGTATTCCTATCGTTGTTTTGGTCAACTCCGGTATCATTCACTCAGAATTAGGATTCTTTCCTCATGAGGTAGTCCATATTGGCCTTAGTGAATGGCTAACCCAAACTAAACCTCCCTTTAGTCTCAAGTGAGTTTAAATTAAATTTTAGCTCATTTAATGTAGGTAATAGTAACAGTAAATTCATGTTGGAACTAAGGGAACCTAAATTCAATTTAAGATCACTTGAGTTCAAATCAACTATTAGCACCCTATAAAACCCTTGGATCTAACAAACACAAATTTAAGTCTAGTGCTCTGGGAGCCCTCCTAGAGAACTTAAACTCTTCCTTAAACTTTCCTTTGAGCATAGAAGGCTTGATCAACTTGTTTGACCAAGCCAACTCTGCTTAACTTTGTGGTATCCACCAAAGATTTTCAATCCAAACGACTCTAACATGTCCAAAAACCACTAAAAATCAAACTTGACCCAATTTGAGGCCTCTAAGCCCTTGGTCAACCTAGCAAGTCAACCATTAAGGACCTATTCACTCCACTTGATTTCAAATGAACAATCTTAAGATGAAGTTTAGGCTCATCCAAGTTCACCTAAGAAGGGTTTGGTCAATCTCCATTGACCAAGTGCACATTAAGAGTCACTTGAGCCAACTTCAAAATTTTATTCAAATATTAAGGTCTAATTGATCCGAACTGTTTTCAGGAATTTAATGAATTCTCACTAATATTCATAATCCAAATCCACAAGCTAATTGAACGGTTGGCCTTTAACTGATTTTAACCCAAAAAGGTCATTTTGTGTTAAATCCCATCTATCTAACCAAATTCAATCAAAAGGGAGAAACACATTTCTTGATCATTGCCCAACCTTTGAAACCAAATAAATTCTCAAATGCACTCAATTGGGCCTAATAAACCCTCAGGCCCATTCTGAGCCCACATGGGTCATCATGAATTGAATTGAAACAAAACTAATTCAAATACAAATTAAATTAGCCAAACACTTCCTTGAATGCAATCATAGCCAATCAAAACCAATTAACCACTATCAGGAATCCAATTGAGTCAAATTGAACCTTGACACAATGATGGCTCAATCAAACCTATTTTAGCCAAATCGAATTAAAGCCCCATCCAATTGAATCAACCCACTCCTTAGGTCATATCCAAGCTAATTGAACTCAAATCAAATGGGAATAAGCCTCAATTAAGTCTAGTTAGGCTTGGACCGAAAGTGACCCAATTGAGTCCTTATGAACCATCTTGGCTCAAGATTAAATACAAGCCCACTCAAATTGAATCCAAAGTTGATTAAGGAACTAGTGAGTCTAGCTAGGCTCAATTTCATGATTGCTGGACCTTAATGGGGTTCAGTTGGGCCCTAAACAATAATGATTAATTTATTAAAAGAATGATTAATTAACCCAAAGTTGAAAAATATAAACAAAATTCATATAAATTTTTAAAAAGTCTAAAACTTCGAAAAAGTTTTTAATATTAAGAATTAATAGAAATTTAAAGTTAATTAAAATTAATTTTAAAAAGAGGGATATTATTGATTAAAAATAATTTAATTAGTTCATAGAAATCTAAGAAAATTCTTCAAAAAAAAAGTAAAAAAAAAGAGTTAATGAAATATGATATTAAAATTAATAAATTAATTTAATAATAATATTATTATTTAATTAAGTAATTAATTAACATTAATAATTAATTTAATTAAATTATAAAAAATATGAAATGATAAAAAAAATCTAATAAAATTATGAAGATACTAGAAGTCTATCTAAAGCATTTATGAGAATTTATAAGGTTTTCTAAATTAATAATATTAAAATTTAAAAATATTTAAAAAAATTCATAGAAAAACTAAATCAAATCCAATTAAACTCAAAATTTTATTGAAAACCAAAAGGTCACTCCTGCCCTCTTTGATAATTTTCATAAATTTTAAATTAACTTAATTTTTAGATTAATTTTGAAGTATTAAAAATCTAAAAATTATAAGAAATCAAAATTAACTCAAAATAATCCTAATTCAATCATATACATCTCACATCTACTATTTCCTCTCTGTTCATTCAATTTTTTAAGAGAACATACATTGAAGTAATGGCCTATTTGGCTGCTTATAGATAGAAAACATTACCCAAAAATGATGACTATTTTACTTTACACCCATTTTTATATGTGAAAATTAAATCATTACATGTAAGAGTTTTGCGAAGTTCAATATCTATGAAGATTTCTAATAACAAGCAACCAAATGATTAAATCTAGCGTAATTTATCATTTATTAAATCCGTTTCCCATCAACAAGCAACCCAATCAGCCCTAACAATAGGCTTCATTGATATGTCAATTTGAAAGCAATTCCTCAATAATGAAATAGACATACTAAATTGGCATTGTAGATTTATGAAACTTGCTGTCAAAGTGAGTTCTCGTCATCTTAAAATCCCCACAACACAAGAACTAAGAAGCCTCATGTGGTTTAAACCAAAGATTTCCATCAGCACATGTAAGAAGAAACAATTATCATATACAAGTTTGAAGACACGTACCTTCAAAATTGGCATATCTGTCATCTTCAAAATTGGCATATCTGTCATAAAATTGGCATATCTGTCATGATAATTGTAAAATAACCGACATATGGTAAAAATCTGTCAAAAAACCACATCAGATGCAAAAAATAGAATTTTAGAAGGATAAAAAAAATGAAGGCCGTAATCTAGGCTTCTAAATCACATGTTAAGCTAGGAGGAGAAGATTTTCATCTTACCCTACAGCTCTCCCCATGATATGATGTTGCTCAAGCCAAAGCTGGCCAGGAGAATATAATAGGCCGGTTCTGTCATCTTCCCGGTTATTATCTCCTAAAGAACAAAATCATTGAAAATATCTTGATTTCAGGAAAGAACTGCAAATAGTTTAGTAAAGGAGCATTAACCTCAACGATAGAGAGAATTTTTTGACTCTTCAAAACTACATAAAGGAACATTTACATACATACCACTTAATTTCTATGGAATTGACATATTTAACACCTAAAATCCAATTTTTACACATAAATGCCACCTTATTTACGCATGAAATGGTATATTTCACTTTTTTAAAGTTAAAATAGTGATATTTTTTATGTGATATCTAAATAAATCTATTCAAGCTACTTTAAAAGATTGTCATTATTCACAAATTTTGAAAAAAAAAACAAAGTAAAAATTCTACAGCAAATTAAAGTAGTATTTAGGTCGAATCCCTATGACTCCAACAGAATCTACAGTAAAGTCTACAACTTGAATAGCCCACGTCAGTAAACCATATCTGCGGAAAGTAATCATGGGCAGAAAGAAGATAGCATGCCATCATTATTCACTAGTAGACGACAACGACGACAACGACAACAACGACAAGCCTTTATCCCACTAAGTGGGGTCGGTTACATGAATTTTTTTCCTCCATTGCGAATCATTGAGTGTCATATTTTCATTATTCCCTCGTAGAGATCTGGTTAAATTTTCTACAAAACAAGAAGGAAAAACCATAGATGAAAAAACAAGACACCATTTAATTTCAAGCCATCTATAGAAATAGTCAGCCGTGAGGTTCAGAGGCCTTTTTTTTTGTGCTAATAATCAAAATCAGTCTTGAAATCCTAAAGCACAATAAGAACATGATACAAACATGATACAAACAGAAAGTAGGCTCCACGTTAGCAATAACAAGACACTGAAACAAATTTACAGATTCACAGCATAAACAAAACAATTGACAAATGAATGTAGTTAAAAATCTGGAGTTGAAGATGAATCATATACAATAAAGATGTATTGATATGAAGAAAATTTCTGCTCAATGCACTTCATTATACTAAGTACTTAGCAAAAGAGAAGAATTATAACTAAATTTATAATGCAAATAGGGACATTAGTCACAGCATAATACGATCATGGGAGATATTCTTGTCATATCATCATCATTATTATCATCAGTCAAAACTAACGAAATGAACATGGGATAGGGATACATAAATTGCTCAAAAATAGATGACACTGATACAAAATTAACACTACATTAAAATTCTTTTCATTTGTAATATTATTAAAAATAATAGATCACTTCATAAGTATAATAAATTCTAAATCACTTAGTACATAGTAAGAGCAAAATCATAATTCTTCTTCTAACATAGGACTTTTAAGATCAATATAATAAATCATAGCTTTCAGATAATAAAATAGGAACTTGCTTGTGTATAAACATGTCTTACATATGTTTAGAATCTGCTAAAACGGGTCAGAAGTGCCATAGATCTTTTAAAAAAAATTAAAGAATGAGACATGGAAAATGATATGCCAGACAGGCTTAAAGTTTCAGTAAAGATACAATCTCAAAAAGTGTTTGATTTTCATAGACTGATTCTAAAGCAATAGGAATATTTCAAAATTTTCCACGGTTAAAACTGAATAAAAAAATTTTGTGATCCCTTGATATGGTTACCCTTTACATGTATAATAGCAGAAATTGATTTACTTTATGCGTGGTATAATTTAGGTCCTAAAAATCAACTTTACATATGAATATCAACAGTTCTAATAAATTACAGATGAAAATAATAAACTTTAGGCTCCTAAATACCAATTCAGAAGTGCAACTAAAAAAAGTTTGTACCTTTTGTGAGAATATCAAGTTCTCCAGTTATTTGGCGCTCATGAACCTGCACATGCAGCTCAAAAGGTCCGGTAGAAATAGGTCATGAAAGTGAGCAAATTATTCCTCTAAAAAAGTACATTAGCTGGAGCTCTTTCTCATAATTAATGTGAAAATTAAGAAAAGTTTCAAGAGTAAACGAGAGTTTTTGAAACAATTCGTAAAGCTAATACAAAGCTAAAATGTCAAATGAGCTGGCATTGGAGCTTTATTACGAGATTTAGCATGCTAAAATTTGGGCAACAATAAGAAATATAGTTCAGATTAAATTGAGAGTGTCTAATAACGCTCATTTATAAAAACCTAGCGCAGGTTATGAGGGACACTTAAAAAGTAATTAAAAGCCTATGAACAGCTCAAATGAGATAATAAAATCTTTACAAGACAATGCAATTGAATTTAAACTAATGATCAATGAAACAAAAACAACAAATTAACAACAAGCAGCATAAAACTATTATTACAATAAAAAATGATACTTAGATGTGATATATTACAATATTTTAAGTTTACTCTATGAATTAGTAATATAGAAAATAATATAACTTCTAATGTTAGGAAGTTAAACTACAAAAGTGTCAAAGGAGTATAATAAATTAAGATGATCTCATGGAGATCAAAAGGCAAATTTATAAAACTAAATTTAGGCAGGTATGTTGCATAGATCCGAGTGTCGGGCAATAAAAAATTAATTAGCAGCTAAGTAGAATTTGAAGTAAATCTAAAAAGGATGAAAGAAATTGTTGGACGAAAGTGGTTAATCTAGGAAGGATACATAATTATTTGAAGAATTGCTATAGTGGCATTAAAATAAAGTTGTTTAAAATAAACCTAGATGATTTGAATATACAAAATAAAGTATAAAAATGCACCCAATAGATGGGTAGATAAAAGTGTTAGAATTAGAAATAAGAAAATAAAGACCAGAGGAGACATATAAATAAGTTTTTAAAAATGCTTGAAAACCTTGGGCAACGCTCAACAGAAATGAAAAGAAAAAAAACATTATTCATAAAGCCAACTCCAAATAGTTGGGCTAAGGGCAACAATCTTGATGGTAGTTATTATGAGGATGAAAGTGCTAAGCCTTTAAGCCATCATATATGCAACGTTGCATTGCCGGGAAGGAAAAATCGAAGAGCCAAAAAGGTAGGAGAGGAAGAGAAAGGTAGGGTATTCAAAGAAGGGAGAGAAAGCGAGAGAAAACAAACAGCTAAAGAAGAGGAAGCATAAGGACGGAAGCCATATTGGCTTTATAAATCACGCGACATGACAGGTTTTAACTACCTGCAAAGACGAGAAAAGAAGCGTTATGGTCTCAAGAGGGAGGAAACATCGCCAAGAAGAGGAGAGGCAGGAGGTCTTGACGTTGGTATAAAGCAGAGGAAGAGGCAACGCCGCTGTCGTGCAGAGGAGGCGACAAGTGTGGGAATTCATGCGCACTCGATCCTACGAACGAACCAATAAAGGAGGAGAAGAGGGACGTCTCTATCGAGCTTAGATAAGGAAGTCGTGCCATCTTCTTGTGCAGAGAAAGCCACGACCGAAGGAAAGCTCTGTGTGCGGGCATCGCTGGTTCGAAGGAGAAGGTAGATCGGAAGAAGAAGAAGAAGAAGAAGAAGAAGAAGAAGAAGAAGAAGAAGAAGAAGAAGAAGAAGAAGAAGAAGAAGAAGAAGAAGGAGAAAATATTACATCAGAAGTTCTGATGTAGTTTCATGTGCGGATGGTAGTATTTTAGTATTATTGGTAGTATTGTGACATTATTTTATTCAAATAATATCACAATACTGTCAATAACACCTCTTGACCTCATTTTTAGTGAGGTCCAATATTCTTCTTAGGGTTTAGGGTCCAGCCTTAAGATTCTCCCTTTGACTATCTTAGAGCCTTAGAAATGAGATCCGCCTCATTTTAGAAATCCAACCTACTTCTTTACGCTTTTGGAGTTTCGTATGTGTGGTATCGGCCTCTAGCACTTAGGAGGTTAAAACCAACATGAGAAAACCAAAAAATAGTTTCTATAGGACCATTAAGCCCTAGAATTGTCTTATGCACAATTTACACCTCTGCACGCACAAACTTCACAATTCAGAAAGTCGACACGTTCGATTACCAAAATTCGGATTGCCTGCACCGTTAATTGTCGAAAAACTTCAATTAAATTTTTGAAACAATCGATCGCGCACCAAAATTTTGACGAGAATCGAATTGGACGCATTTTTTACCCGATCGTCGATGAGGGTGTCCGAACAATCTCGGATGACGAAACGAACTGTGCTGGCGCATCCGGAACGTCGAATTTAGCTGGGAAGGACATCAATTTTGATATGACTCCGAACGAGATTAAATTGCGGGCAAATTGGCAAAATATAAGTAAAATAAATAAATAAATAAAAGAGAAAAAAACCTAATTAAATCCCTAATCCCGCACCCACGCTCGCCTCCCGCATTCGACCGAGCTGCAGCTTGTTCCTCCATTCGGCCCGAGCGGAAACCCTAGGACTGAATTCGTCCCAGCCGAAGCCCCTCTTCTTCGCACGTCTTCGACTCGAGGTCCCCTCCTCGTACGCTCGCCTCTGCCTAAAGCTTCCATTTCGCCACGCTCCCTGCAGCCTTTATCGCCACTCCTTGCCGATCTACCTAAAAGTCGTTCCCTGCCTCTCCCACGCCTCTGCGATGTTTGTCGTTTCTCGCCTGCCTCTTTTGGCTCGGCTCACCGTCCAGGTAGGTGAAAATAAGTATTCTCCCCATTCGCTTTTAAATACCTCACTTGGGGAAGAGTTTAGGGTTGGCCGAAACTCTTGGAGAAGGGAGAGGTGTTGCCGGATTTTTTGGTTTGCTCTACATTTTGGTTGGGTTTCTCAGCCTCCCTGTTGGTTCACTGGGTACTCTCGCTTGTTTGTTTCATCACTGAGGTATAAACCCCTTGCTTCATGGCTTGACATGCTTGTTTGTTGGAAATTCTTTTTGTGGCAAGGATTAACTAGCTAGCCTATTAGCATCTCTTTTCCTTTCTTGTTACAAGCTCTATAATCTCTTGTTTTATTGAAAATGACATCAAATACATATGGTTTTGGTATTAGATCTTAGGTGGGGGTTTTGAATGGCATGTTATACCTTCCTTTTACTAAAACTTCTTTGGGCTTAATGTGTTTCACTTGGAGGATTCGGGGGCTCGTGTCTTTGTGAGGTCTTGCTTGGCTTGGAGCATTAATTGGGCTTATTTTATTTTCAAAAGAAAAAGAAAAAAAAAGAAAAGGAAAGGTGGGGGAAGTTTCGATTGGCCTTATAGGAGAGGAGATTTCTAGGGCTGATTACTTTGCTCTCTTTTAACTAACTTAAAGGCTTGTGTATGCATGTTTCTAACACTTCATATTTACAATGATATCATAGCATGAGCAAATGAAAGGAGCATGGTAGTTTGGAGAGGTTAAACTTCATTTTTAATGCTTTATAAACGTTGATACTTCTCTTTTACCCATGTTACTTGTATTTTTGAGATGTTGGAATACCTATTTGAAAGCTCCTTTATTTGCTAGCTGTTTTAGTGAGATTTGAGCACTATTTGGTAGCTTCAAAGGCGGCTATTTGAACTAAATGTTGTTGGTTTGGAGACTTTATACTCTCTTTGCTTCTTCTCTATTACTTGTAGCCACATCTTGTAGCCACATTGCCCCACATTGCCCTTACTTGAGAGGCTCATTCTATGGTGAGAAGTTGAGGTAAAACGTATTTTTGATGTGGTCAAAAGGATTTGGTGGCTTGTTTTACAAAATCTGAAATTCTCCCATGCCTATTTTGCAAAACTTGAGAAATGTGCTGGCTCATTTTACAAAATCTGAAGTTTTGTCTTGCTTATTAAAAAAAATTTGAAAGGAGGGAGTGGGTTAAATGGTGGTGATGCAAGGGTAAAGTTGCAAGTCCTTTTAACTCCTAGGTGCTTACATGCTTAGCACTTCAAATCCTAAGGTATTTATGTACCCAACAATTTGAGCTCTTGTTCCTTCACATACGCATCACTTTAAATCTATGGATTTTGCTCTTTAAAACGGTGTATTTCTTTGGCAAGATGAAAGGTTTGCGTGATATATATGTCAGTGTTAAATATGTGACTATTTAAGAATTAAGTGGTTGGTGGCTGAAATTTTCTCGTCTCGGTTTTCATTATGGTTTTATTAACTGCACTAGCTATTTCTTTTCTTTGAGAGAGGTTGTTGGTGATAAGCAATTAGGCATCTATTTTATCTTGGATAAATGAGAGGTGGGATATATTTTAATGTAGGTACATCTTCATGCCTAAAACGTTTGGAATTACACATTGTTTTGGGAAGTTTTTTGAGCTGCTTTCTTGATTTGTTTTGAGCAGTTTTTGGGCTTCAGTTCTGCCCTGTTTATGAGAGACTTTTTATGGCTTTTTGGGCTGCGGTTTGTCCTAGTTTTGGGTGGTTTGGCTGCAGGTTTTGGGGTGGTTTCTTTGCTACGGTTTGGCATGATTTCAGTGTTTTCTGGGGCAGCGGTTTAGCCTAGTCTGAAGAGGTTCGGCTGCAGGTTCTTGGCTTGGTTTTGGACCGACTTGGCTGCGGGTTTTGGGCCTGATTTCTGATGGTTTTCTGAGCTGCGTTTTATCCTGGTTTTGGGTGGTTTGCCTGCAGGTTCTTGGCTTGGTTTTGGGCTGAATTGGTTGTAGGTTTTGGGCCTGATTTTGATGGCTTCTCGGGCTGCGGTTTGCCTTGGTTTTGGGTGGTTTGGCTGCAGGTTTCGGGCCTAGTTTTGGGGCTGATTTATAACTGATTTGAGCATGTTTTTGGGGCTTTTTTCGTGGCTCGATCGACTACAATTTTGGAGCTACTTTGGGGAGGGTTTTTGGCACGTTTATTTACTACTGCTTTCCTTACTGCACTTTTTACTGTTTTCCTTTATTGCAACTCCCACTGTTTCCTTTAAGTATTATACCTTTTAGAATAGGAGGACAGTAGTTTGGTTTTATAGGATTTTATAGGAGGTACC